TCCAACTTATAGTGACCCAAAGGGTAGAGTGTTGTTGTTGTTGTTATTGTTGTTGTTGTTGATATGTGCCATCATGTCACTTGCGACCATAGTGACCCTATATACAACAGCCCTGAACCCTGCTTTATCTTGAGCCAACCTCATTGTCTCTGACACACCTACCCCCACTACCCCAGTCACTGAGTCAATCCATCTCATCCAGGATCTTCCTCTCCTGAGCTGTCCCTCCACTCTCCCAAACATGATGTCTCTCTCCAAGGACTGGTCCCTCCTTGTAACATGCCCAAAATATGTCAGACAGAACTTCAGAATCCTTGCTTCAGAGGAGCAGCCTGATTTCATCCTCTCCAGGATGAATCTGTCTGTGCTCCCAGCAGTACCTGGTATACTCAGGACTCTTCTCCAGAACCACAGTTCAAAGGCATAGATTCTTCTTCTATCATCCTTAGCCATTGTCCAGCTCTCTGATGCATAGCAAGTAGTTGTGAAGACCATGGCCGGGATCAGACTCACCTTAGACTCTAGACTGACATCGTCACTCTTCAGTACTCTGGAGAGGTCCCTGACAACAGATTTTCCCAGTGCAATTTGTCTTTTGATTTTCTGGAAAGGATAGAGTAGAACTGCCCTATAGAGTTTCCTAGGCTGGAAATCTTTAAGGGAGCAGGCTCTCTTTTTCCCTCAAAACAGCTGATGAGTTCATAGCACTAACCTTTTGGTTAACAGCCCAACAATTAATCCACCATACGATGGGGACAGTTTGACACAAAGGATATCATTGCTAATGTCAGATGGGTTCTAGCTGAAAGTCAATACCAGAAGACTGTCTATTTATGTTTGACTCTGCAAAGGCATTTGACTGTGTGGATCATAGCAAGTCATGACTAACTGAGAAGAGAGAGAATCCAAGAGCACTTAATTTTGCTGATGTGAAACCTATATCTAGACCAAGAGTCTGTTTTGTGAACAGAACAAGGAACATTACATGGTTTAAAATTAAGAAAGGAGTGTGTCATTGTATCCTTTCTCCATACATATTTACCTATTAAATCTGTATACTCAACATATTATTCAAGAAGTTGGACTCTATGAAGAATATGTGGCATCAAGTTCAGAGGAAGACAACAATCACCTGTATTATGCAGATGATACAACCTTGCTTGCTGAAAGTGAGGACATGAAGAACGAACTTGCTGCAAAAGGTCAGAGAATACAGTCTTCAATATCGATTGTATCTCAGTGTCAAGAAAACAAAAGTTCTTATCACTGGAACAGTAGGCAGCATCATGATAGATGGAGAAAAGGTTGAAGTTGTCAGCAATTTAATCTTACTTGGAGCCACAGTCAACATGCTTGTTACCAGCAATCAGGAAATCAGGAAACGTATTGCGTTGGGAAAACTGTAGTCAAGGACTTCTCCAAATTATTGGGGAGCAATGATATTAGTTTGTGGACTAAGGTGTGTGCCTGATTCAGGCCACATCTGAGAGATGGACAGTGAATAATAATGACAGAAGAATTGATTCCTTTGATCTCTAGTGCTGGAGAAGAGTACTAAACATCCCACGGAGTTCCAAAAACATATGTCTTGGAGAAAATGCAGCCAGACTGTGTCTTGGAAACAAAGATGATAAAGCTTTGTCTCACATACTTCACGCATGTTACTAGAAGAGGCTATTTCTTGGAGATGGACGTCATGCTTGGGAAGGTGGAGGGTCAGCAAAAGAGAGGAAGACACCCCCCCCCCCCGAAGAATGGACACAGTGACTGCTACAATGAGCTATGATGTGTCAGGAAATGTGAGAATAGCATAGGATAGGACAGGGTTCAGATCTGTTGCTATGAGTCACACTCGACTCGATGGCACTTAATGACAACATCCATCATTAGGATTCTGTTTTATGCACCAGAGTCAAATTGTATTCACATTTTATTTCTCTTTCCTCTTTTATTGTTTGTGCTTTTGGTGTCATACTTAAACCATTGCCAAATTCAAAATCTTGATTATTTTCTCATATTTTCTTTTAAAAGATTACTTGTTCTGGCTCTTAAATTTTAGGGTTTGACTCATTTAATTTGATACCAGGTAATTAATTTATTTTTTTTTTGCATGTGGATATACAGCTGTTCCAGCACCATTTTTTAGAGAGACTGCTTTTTCCCAATGAATAATACTTTTGGCACTTTGGTTAATAATCAGCTGACAATATATATGGATTTTTTTCCCCTGGGATCTCTCGTAATCATCTAAACAACTTCTTTTCACTCACTCCAGAAAGTAAAGACACAGCCTATTGAAATCACAATGGTTCCTTATAGTAGTGACTACAGAGATGAATGAAGGTGGGAAGGGAGACAAAATTTTCAAGTTTCTTCCTTTGCCCTTTCTCAGTCTGTACATCCTTCCTTCACTAGTGTTGAGACTGATGCTTTAAAGTATTCCCATTGGAATGAATGACCTTTCTTATTTTATTATTTTTTATTTCCCAGTACAAAGTATTTATTTAATCTAGTTTGGCCTGCCTTTCATACAGGAGATCCTTAATTTAAAATGGGTAAAAGTTCAATTGTTAAATGCAGTATTCTGTCAATTTTTTAAATTTGCTTCTTTTTGTCACACTCCAAAAAAATACCTTTACCTTTTTTTGTTAAAAAAACCTCCTATCCTGTTTTATATTTTTAAATTATTTTACGTTTTGTTTACATACAAAATTTGTATATGTTGTATTTCATTTATACACATGGTATTTCATGCATTCCTCCAATCACACTGCATTTCACATTATCATTCCCATACATTGAGTTCCATAAAATTAATCATCATTAAGTTTTACCCCAACCCTGATGTCAGTCACTTTCTACAACAGGGGCACCATGCAGTATTTGTCCTTTTGTGACTGAAATA